ACATCTCTATGCTATTCATGCCTTCAAAAGATATTTGTGCTTTTACAATACAAGTGAGTATGTGAATGCTTTATTTTGGGTTCTTGTTATATAATCAAAGAAAAAGTCTTTACTATATTTTAAAACAGAAATAGGTAGGAGCAGCCACATGAAATGCATTTAGCTGTCATTGTATAGCAACCCTAATGCAATGTAAGCAATTTTGTTAGGCATAGTCTCATTCAAGAAAAGACTTGCACTCAGAACTGCCACATTAGTTTAAAGATGGAGATGGGAGAACACAGATAACTCCCAGTTGAAGCAAGGACCACATGACAGGTGACTTTATTTTTAGAACAGGATTGCAAAATCTAGCCCTGCGACCTTGCTTGTAAGGGGATGCCTTCCTTGAAGCAGCTGCTATGTACTACCAAATTACATTATTTTAATAGTGCATTATCTATATTTTAACAGAAATTAAAATCTAAGTTTAAGATTAAAAAAATGTAGATATGAAGCTACCTTATTATCACAAAGAAAGAATACTTGTTCTGGTTTTGATAGATTTTAAACAATTAGACTTTGATATAGTTTTCAAGACTGTCATGCATGGAATGCGTATTTGAACTTAGATGGACTGGGACAATTTTCTTACGGATTCAAGAACAGCTAGATTGGAGATACTGAATCTGAAGCCCTACAGGCAGTGCAGCGAKGACGGTTCTGGCCAGCCTTTGCTCTACACGCTGCCACTCCTGTCCAGACATCCAGCCATGCGCCGTCACGTGTATCTATACGGGAGATAGATAGATAGACAGATAGTGTGTACACCCTGAATAACTGAATGGACCCTGCTGGCAAACATTGTGCTGTGGATGCAGGGTTTGGGCACATAATCTGAGACCTTCACCTGGCTGTGTGGGCTTTGCCTTGCAAGGCCACCCGCGGGATGAGGTCCTCGAGGAGACGCTGGGCACGAGGAGCAGGTGGCCGGCATCCTGGCTGTGCGTGCACCGCCTGCCCCGGGTCCCCTCCTGGCCCGGGAATATAGCACGGGTGCTGGATGAACTTGGTTGTTGGTGTGAAAGCCGGGTGTTAGGCAGTTGCTGCTTCTATTTACTATACATGCATGTAGGAATTACACTTACCTTAATTTAGGGTAGTTTTAAACATTTTTCTGGTGAGCCTGTAAAGGATGTATGTATTTCTCCAAAGCACATAGCTTTTCATAAGTTTTCTCATAATGCTTTTTTTGTACCATCAAAATGCAATTTACAAAACCATAATGCAGTACTTGATCTTATTTTAACATTAGGTTGTATCAAAATCGAAACAATATCTTATATTTTCTGGCAGTAAATGCTATGATTAAAGAACGAATCTTTCTAGATGTATTGGCTGATGCTACCCACTATGGATGCTGGGAGATAGATTTCTTGTGTTTCACGTTTTAAATGTTTTAACGATATGCATTATCTAACAATAAAAAAGTTTACATATAATAGATTTAGCYCAGGGCTGTTGAAATACATACGTTTTCTTAGAAAGCCATTTAGAATTTTTTCAAGCTATAAGAATATCTCAACTGGTATCATGTTTTGGGCTCACTAGCAACCCGTGAGATAATAAAGAAGACACAACTGCCCAGAGTCTGAGAGGCACAACCAGATATTGCATGTCCCTTGTTGTCAAAAAAAAAAATCTCTTTTCCTTGTTGCTTTGGTTCTGTCTGTTAAGAAAAACCTGTCTGGATGGCATAGGAGGTTAGTTGATTAGGCTGGATAAACTGGCTTTCATTTCCTAAACCGTTTTAAGTGACAATAAATGTTTCACTCAAATTTAGGGGCTCTGATGAGTCACTTTTACGTAGGCATAATGATGGCACTGCGTATTACTGTTGATGCCTCACTATGACAGTCTTAATGTAGCTGTAATTATACTGAAACTATTTGATAAGTAAAATCACTATATTAATTGGTATGTTTTCCTTCCATATTCTCACAGAAATGGGCAGCTCAGTTCCTTCTCATGTTCTTCTTACTCTATGCTTTTGCAGAGCAAGAGAATGTAAGATGGACTCAAACAGGATTAATATTCAGTCACTGTTCCCTGCCCTCATTTTTCTTTTTCCTTACAAGAATATTAATGCTTCAGTTGTGATAATGGTTGTATCTGCGTCAAACTCGTAGCTGCTTCTGTCTGCCAATGATAGGAGATCACTTGCAACAGCACTGGTAATATTCCCTTCCTCATGCTCTTTATCTAATCTAAGTTACACTAAGCATACAGCAGATGCACAGGGCTTAGACTCTTTGGTACAAATATCTTGATATTTGTATAATATTTAGTATGGATACCAATTTTGAAATTGGAGTCTGGAGCCAATTCCAGCCTGGGACCACGTGCAAGTAAATTTTGTAAAATTGAGCACAACTGATTGACTTTGCATGATACCAGAAAGCATGAAGTACGCTAGCAGAAACATCTTCAATTTTCACTCGCATATACCCTGGTTACATAATATGCTCATGAATTACTATAATAAATGTTTATTATAGTCTTCTGAATTCTTGCTAGTCCAAATTGCTAGGAGAATTATTTAATATTTAAAAAAATACCAGGAAAAAAAATGGAGCATGTTTATTAATAATGCGTTAACACTCACTGACATTAATGCAAGTAGTCATCTTCAAATTGTAGCACCATTGTTCCTATTTCGGGCAACAAACTTTTTTTTTTTTTTTTTTTTTTTTTTTTTGGTGGTGTTTTTTTCTTAAAAAAAGGTCTTTGTTTTTCTACTAAAAAAATAGTAACATTGAAGTTTTGTTCCTGTCTTGTGAGGAACAAAAGCCCCCACCAATTGTGAGAACTGAGAAAAAAAATTTTGTTAGTTAATTTAAGCTGTGCTAGTTGCAATTGTCTAGCTGAAATAATAAAATACCAGTCCTTTTTTTTTTTTTCTATAGATGAAAGGTTTTAACATATAACAACTGGTATAAATTCCTGTAATTCTTCTCTGTATTTATTGGAACATCCCAATGTCAGAAGTATGAATTAAATGAAAAAAATAAAACAGATTTTTGTGAAGAGCTGTCTTAGAGTAGCTTCTGTCTGGTCTCTAGTAAATATGGAAGTTTACAAAAAGGATTTTGACTACTGTTGGTCATGTTTGTGCTATGGTTTGAAAAAAGTATAATTTTGAAGTCTTCTCCCAGCAATTATAACAATAAAACTTGTATCATATTGTTGTATCATTAAAACTTATAAAATACTTTAGCCAAAGTTGTTAATTGAAGACTCTCCGTATACTTTGGGATAACTTGAATCCATTCTTACATAGGTATTTTCCATTTTCAGCTTAAATAGCTAAGCATGATGATATTGGTTTTATATATCAAAGATAACTGTATTTCTTATTTTTATTGTTACAGTTCTTGGATGATCGATTTCCTTGCTGTCTCTCAAAACTTACAGTATCGATGCTAAATAAAGTCTAGACTAGGAAGAATTCTGCCAATGCTGTTAGTGCTGAACTCGGTGATATTTTTTCACTACTTTTAGAAGTGATATTTCCAAATCTTTTGTTTCTTTTACTAGGTACAGATTTGATCTATATTTTAAATATATATTGAAGTTGCATATTAAACAGCTTAATAAATCATGTTACAAAATAGCTTTTAAGAATACTTTAAATGGAAAAACAAATTATAGTGAAGGTTGGACTAGTATAAGGTTCTACACCTCAGCAGTATTCATTACTGGCCATGGGCTCTGAATAAACAAAGAGCATCTACGTTGTTACTGAATAAGCWTAGTTTGACTTTTATAAAAATAAACTAGGTAATAATAAACAGTAGACTTTAGTCCAAAGTACTGTTTTAAAAATAATTGCCAGTAGAATTTATATTCTATTTTCCTAAAGCTCTAATCTTAGAGTCAATTAATGTGTTTATACAGATTTTTTCGGAGTAAATACATTGTGTGAAGCCTTGGCTGACCCGAAATCAATGTTAGTTCCATTCATTTCATTAGCACCTATTGAATTGAGCAGATTTATTCATCTGTACAAGGTAAACATACGTTTATTCTCAATGCTGAATAAACACTAATTCTGAAGGTTTTCCTTGTATGAGCCTCTGCTAATACATAGCCTCTCGGTTTATTTGCATGAAAAGGTTTGAATATGAGGATCTTAATCTGTGCATATTAGGTTATAAAGACATCTTCACGTCTTCAATCCTGTGTTTTAGGCATCTTTGAAGCCTATGGGAGCTGGAGTGCTTCTCAGAAGCTTTCAATATGAAATCTAATTCTAAAAGGATTGAATAAATTAGCTATTTTTCCTCCTTACAATATGGCTTTTAAACACTGGATGAGCTACATGATGTGCAAATGTGCAACGAATATGGTTTAATATTAAAACAGAAATTGTACCAAACTGCTACCATACATTTTTCTAAATGGCAAGCAGACCTTGTGACTGCTTGTGAGCGTGTCTGGAGCATGGCTTGAGGGAGGCTACTAGAGAAGCCGTAAAGCAACTGTATTTTCAAACAGTAAAAAAATACAGTGCCCTGAAACCAGAAATTGCTTTTGTTTTTTTTGTACTTTTTCCTCCCTTCTAACATTAATAACTAGTAATGTCCATGATACATTCACATTTGGTATTGTTTATGGAGCGAGGCTGTGTGATCGCAGCCAGGTTTTCCTGGAAATTGCTGTGCTGTTGAATGCAGACCACCTTTTGTTCACTCAATTAGGGACCGATCATTGACACCACGCTTAAATCCGGCAGCAGGCAAATGGACAGCCTTTCCCGTGCCCRGGGGTCTCAGGACAAGCCGGTACTTTTTGATTTGTATCAATGCAGTCAAAACCGATCTCTGCTTCCCTCCAGGCAGCAGCCCGCAGGACTGTCATTTGGCAGTTGGCATTAACTCTGTCAAATAAAATGGAGAAGTTCGGACCACGTGTTCGCTTGAGGTAAAGAGGTATGTCGGAAATGTGCCCTCCCTGGTGCCATGGAGGCTGAGCTGCGCAGGTGCCTCCCCAAAGGCCCGGGCCCTCCCGCTGAGCCCCCGACTGCCGCCCGCCTGGGCTGCTCTGGTGTTCCCACCAGCCGGAACGTCGTGCTGGAAGCTCCAGACCTATCTCTGTACTGCAGAGCAAATTCTGGCTTGTTTCAGCTTTGTTAGCTCGGAGTGAGATGCAGAATTCACCTTGACAGGCCTTAGGATTTCACACTGGCTTTTATGCTCATCCCAAAGCTCAGGCAATTATTGGCTATACAAATTTTATGTCAAACGGGCTTGCTGTTAGATTTTCCTGACRGCATATTCACAGGGCACAAACAAATCCATTGCATTTTCTGAGTTGTACTTGGATTTTAACGCCGCTGTTTGCAGTGAAGGTGTAGTCCAAAAGCTGGCAATGGTTTATGGTTTATCATGACATAGAAGCAATTTTGTTAGATTGAGGCTAATACACAATGTGTTGCATGGGTCTTTCCTGCGTAAAAGGAAGGTATTTATCCTACACACACTTGTTTGTGTGAGATACTCTTTTGGAAAGCTGTGCTGAGTTAGCTTGCTGTGATCCTGTTACAATTCTGGTTTCCAAATATTATTTTAATTCCCTTATTGGACTAAGGAAATGGCAATAAAAACTCTTACTGTATCTTTTGAGGTGCAAATTTAGCACGCTAATCCAGTTGTTTAGGTTTTCAGAACACAAATGGCTAGAGTGATTTTGCTTAATTCCATTAAAGCATGCATGGTGCAATTACAGGCATTATCATACCTAAATGATGAGAAATCTTTCTTCCTGTGRTTTCCTATTAGATACCTTTCAGTTATAAGCCTTTGGCTTAAAAACCTTTTGGATATCTTGACTCATTTTGCAATTAAAAGAACTCCAAATCTGGTTTTTGAAAAAGAAACAAAATGTGAAAGGTCCTTGAATTCTGAGCATCTGCTGTTGGTAGAATAGAAAGCTTAATGGCATGGCAAGCATGTAAAGCTGTCTTGTCTGTGTGTCCAGATAAACGAGGACAACAAATTTATACTGCTTTTTAGATGAAATGAAGTTGTATTCTGTGTGCAGATAAGATGCAAAATACAAAGATGCAAAAAAAGATTCAATATAAAATTTGAAAATACATTTAAGTTTTTATATTATTCAGATAATGTGTTTTATCATATTAAGTTTTCATAGGCTTATGCAGTAATGCCTACATGTATTTAAACAGGAAATGCAGAGTTAACATACGTTCTTAGGAACCGGCACCTACAAGCAGTAAGAGGAAATGGAAATTGCCATCCAAAAAGCATTATTTTGGACTTAATTCATGAGTTTCAAACAGACTTTGCCAGATACTTTACTCCAGCTTGTCTATACTCTATATTTTCCTAAATTCAGAAATCACTATGAAGGAGTCCACAAATAATTTATTTTTCTGCCATGTTGGTGATTGGTGCATTATTGTTTGGATAAATGATTTAAATTTAGCTAATTTTTTTAGATAACGTTGGTTTAAGTTGGTTTCATTTAAACTCCCCAATGATGTGTTTACTGTTATATTAATTACATAGTTTGTGTTACAGTAGTACTTGAGATGTAATTGAACTCGACTAATAGTAGACACTATAAAAACTAATAAACTGCTCATCAGGATAAACTTTTCAGGAAACATATGTATGTTTTCATATGGCCATGCTAAAAAGTGAATYTTTTTGATCTTTTTTTCCAGACTCTGTATTGCATATCTCTTTGAGTCATCTAACACTTTAAAATCTGAAATAAGGGATTTTTTGGAGATGCATGGAAATGTGTTGGGAAAAAATGTTTGAGGGTAACTATTCCTGCACCARAATGGCTTTAATTTTCCCAACCATACTTTGTAGTAAACTTCTTAGAGGCCAGCAAAATTCTACTTTTGTATGGATCCCACAGACCAATTTCATTATTTCTGAGCAACTATTCTCAGATTTCTACAATTTTAATAATATGATACCGCATTTAAATATTGACAGCTGCTGGCTTGTTTTCACATGGCATAATTTCACCAGCCAGAACACCTACAGATTATGGTATGAATGTGTGTGTGTATATATATGTAAATTTGTGTGATATATATATTTATATGCATTTAGAGAGTTTTTTATATGCTATATTTATGTGTGTGTATATATGTTTGAATATACACATATATGCACATATGTAAACATATATACATCTTAGCAAGATCTACAGTATTCTTCTTCCTCTAAAAATAATCTTTAGCTCTCTTCTAATCAGAACTTTAAATCCTGAGTCCAGAATTAGGTTTTTGTATTCCATTTCATCTTCCTTATCTTTGATCATTAGTAGTGCATCAAAGTCAAATAAGAAAACAAGCAATGGCTCTAAGCAGTACTGCAGGCAACATTGACTTTCACTGTARCAAATAAAATTTATCATATCTGCTGTTCTTAGAAGTTCACCTCTGTACATCCTGAAGGTAAACAGTCAGCTGCAGCTTTTCTTACATAGGCAATCCATGCTTCAGTGCTTCATTTATTTATTCACCAGTAAGTACCCTGTTCCTTCTTCCAGGAAAACACTCATTCTCTTTCAGACATACTTTGCAAATATTTATTTGAACTAGTTGATTGAACTCCTGATTAACATATTTTTTAGTGCAATTACTCAAGTCTCCCAGTGCCATTGTTTTCACTGGAAATTCAGTACTGCCAACTGGTCCTCACCAACTGACAGTGGAAGTTAAATAAGCCACACCTAAGGCTTCCAGAGGACACCAAACAAATTGTGCTTTGTTGAAAAGTTCTTTTTTTTGAATTTGCTACCAAGAATACTGGTTAAAATGCAAAAGTTTTGCAAAAATGGATCAAGAATATTTATATGTGCTTGATTGAAGAAATGGTGTTACAGGTGTTTTGTGGTGTTACAGGCATCTTTTATTTTCAGGATAATGTATTTCAGTTTCCTTAGAGTAAGACAGTACGATATAGCAATGCTAAGCCCAGATGAAGATTTTTGTCAAGAACTAGATTCAGTAGATCACTCTTTCAATTTACAAATTTTCTAATAAGCTTTCTAGCCCTTTGGGGAGCTAAGCCATACCAATAGCATAGAACTCAACAACTCTGTTTTTCAAAATATACTTCATGCAGTCATTTTCACAGTTACTTCTACCATTTGACATACGAGTTGTTTGGCTTATGAAGTTTACATACGTATCTTCACAGGACATGTTTTATAGAAGAATTCACCATGCCATAGTCTTCCAGATTTTCTGTAGCATCATTTCTGTTCTAGCGTGTGAGGCTGYGGCTTTGCACTTCCCTAGAGGTGTGACGCCCAAAGGCAGGATGAGCACAAATGTCCGAGTTGCAGAGAGCAAGGTGCGCTCAGCTGATGGACCCGTTTCCAGTGCAGGCAAGGTTCGCCTCCACTGCCTGCCCGCTGTGTGTTTGAACAGCTTTGCAAGGGAGATCACCATCAGGCGATCAGCAAGGATTTAGATGGGTGATTTCCAGTGCTCTGTTTGAAGAGCCAGGGATAAGCAAGAGATCTGACCGTGTCTTTTTCAGACAGCAGAGCTGTCTCTGACTACTCCCAGTTGACTGGGCACCGCAGCGTAGGAGTATGTTTTTTATAGTCTGTCTGCAATTATAACATGTAGATGATGAAAAGAGTGGGGTGATAAAATCACTATAGTGATTTGAGATTGTACACATTGTACTGCATCCAAGATTAGTTCTCTATCATCGAATAAGAGATCTGATCTAAGCTGCTTTAGTTAGCTTCATGTTCAGTACAGACTGACTACAATTCCTTGCACATGTCCAGCCCCTGTAAGTCAGAGTCAGGGTAATGAAGTTCTGCAAGCAGATAAATCCCTTATATTCATACGGGCAAAGAGAGATCTCTGTGTATATAAACTAGCGTATTTTTTCCCTCCTAGCTCATTTAAGTACCAGTGTAGCATTGTTTAAATGACTCTAAAGCATCTGTGAATTATGTGAAGGTGGAAGATGTCAGTGCAACTTTTCTCAGTGCCCAGATGTGAATATGTAGCGACAGATGCGTTGAGCTCAGCTGAGCTTGAAACAGTTAACAGCTTCTCTGGAGAAGTCAGCTACTGAAGAGTCATGCCTAACGTTTTTTCTTCTGAAACTAATGGCTGAAATCCTTGAACTATAATACCAGGCAAGCATCAGTCCATCCTTCAATGTGAAGTGTATAAGAGCAGTTTTAGAGAAATACTGTTTTAAATGATGCTTATATTAATACCAGTACAGTTTTAAATTCTTTCTGCAAAGTCAAGTTAGGTCATTAGGAGAGTGAATCTAGCACCTTCCCCTGATCTGTAGCAGGACTCAACTTCTGTCCTTCTGGAACAGTTGTACCAATTTAGAGCAGCATAGATTTTGTTACTGGTTTAAGTCTGTTTCTGCCTGCCTAAGAAAGTAGGAATTGGTAGGAATCATAGGAATCAATTATGGTGATGTTAAGCATTAATAATTAAAGGAGCACTATGAAAAATGGTAAAAATCTTTAAAGCTGCGTGAACTAGAGCTATTCAATCTGCCAGTAGTTATTATGGTCAAGTTATTATGGTTATTCCATAGCCAGTGAGATCATTTGAAAAGTTTCTTGTGATTTAGGCCTTTTATGATATTTTGTAGTTCACTTAAAACTATAGCTGCCAGCTCTGGGGAGGAAATACACACCATAATACAGGTACAATATGAATTAATTACAAATAAGATGGTGGGTCAGTGCTGTTGCAGGRATGTACCTGAATTGCTTTCCTATATATAGCAAATACTGTTGCATTGTTTCAGGAGAGCAATATGCTCAGTTGAAAACATATCTCCAAGTTCTCTTCCAATTGAAAACAGTGTAATTTTTATTTGATAAAGYTTACTAGTTAGAATGGGAATTTCAGTATGTGCCAAGGAAATGCATCCTCAGTGCCCATCATTAGAGATTAGGTGTGTACCAAGGTGTAGTCAAGGCACACACCATAAGAACTGATGTAACGGTCTAAGTTATTAAAGCTTTTGTTATTTTTGCAGTATGACAACAACTGCAGAACATAATTTAAGTGAGATGAAAAAAATCAGTGGTACTACTTGTGTACTGCAGTTTAGATAGACACGGCATTTTCATGACTGAAGTACGGATCTGGAATCATCAGCTAGATAAAAATGTGCTGATTTTGCCTAGTTAAAATCTATTTGTCGGCTGGACTCTTGCATGCTGCTGATGCATTCAGAAAGCTGCCACTTGCTTTGGCAGACAACTTTCCCATATAACAAGGTGAGTTAGGCTGTCCTCCGTTTCCCATGAATGCTTGGCCAGTGTTCCTGCAGCATAGAGATCAAAGTATTGGACCTATTTAAAAATCTTACCTATAATTAAATCTTAAGTGAATATTTTTATGTCACTTTAAGTTTTAGATTACTTTTTGATGAAATTTGTTTTAAAATATTGTGTACTGCAAAATTGTCCAATAAATGAAGTGTTACCAATACTGTCTCCAAATGTCCCCTTGATCTGGGTGAAAGTAATGGTTAAAGCCCAGAATTTTTAAAAGTGAGGGTCTCCTATCATTTACATCTTGATTTTTTTTTTCATTAGGTAAATAATGAGTCCCAAGAAAGACCTAATCCAGTCCCTTAGTTGTTAATATTCTCTTCAATTTCTTTCATCAGTGAAATAAGACAGCTTTATCTTTTGAAGATAAAAGACAATTCCTTCTCCATCACAACGCTGTTTTTTCATGGCCCCTTATCTTTCCTACCTTTGCTCTGGGTTTTGTGCTGGGAAATTGCTTGCACGCAGGTAAAGCCAAACTTTTYGCTGCTGTTTGTGGTTGATTAATTAGCCTCCTCTGAGAGACTTCTGATTAGCTCTAACAAACTCCACGCGCCTTCCCGAACACACGGCCATGCAGGAGCAGGGCAGCTTCACAACAGCTGAACTCCTTCCCAGACAAGGTGTAAATGACAGAGGAGATTGTTGCTGTCCTGTCCCAAGTTCTCTCTGTTTTCATGGCAGATAATGAAGTAAATGTCTAGATGTATGTGAATTCTCAGCAGAATTCTAAATTGCTTTTTTAAGGATTGCTATAGTAATAGCAAGATCGAAAATAACCATTGATCTCAGGGTCAGGTATTTGTTCTAAATACATTTCTGCTCACTTTGTTCTGCAGAAGGCTTGATAACAGTGATGATGTTGTGGTCCTGTCAGTGTGCATCTTGCTTATTTTATTAGTTGCATATTGTAACATTTCTAGCATTTATGTAAAGTACTTGTTATAAGCCAAAGCTGATTGAAAACTGATGTACGATGCAGAAATAATTGACTAGATAGAAATCTGAATCTCTGACAACTTTGAGGAAGGAAAATCAGGGAGGTCTCATTGTTTGGATTATTTTAGTAGCGAGATAACTAATGTGATACCTGCACAAGGCAATCATTTTGCATTAATCTGCTGTAGAGGAAAGCACTGGTAGATAGTGCAAGCTAACTGCAAAGGTTAAATAGAGGGGGGTGTCATTTCAAATTAATGGCGTTGTAAACTATGACAAGTGCTGCCTTTTGGAGGCACTAGAGAAGGATTTAAGTGTTCACCATGTAAAGGTTAATATTAGCATGTAAATGGCAATGGTGATTGTAATTRTATTTCAGTGTTAATATCTGTTAATATGAACAGAGTAAAAATGGTGTTCACACTTTGAAAGGATATTCAGAGTTTCAGAGAAATTGATTCTCCTAGAGAGACAACCCTGAAAATTGTTTCACTGAAAACTATGAGGAAATTTAGTAATCTTCAAAAGATGGTTAGAGAATGTCTGTGTGTTTATRTGTTAAAATATATTTTCCTAAATCTGACTTAAATTCCAACCTTTTTTTTTGTAAAGTTTGAAAATAACTCTAAATTAACTTCAAAATTCACATGATCCAACAGCTATCTTTACATTCAGAATGCAGGAACAGGCTATTTGCCAAATCAATCTTATGCCATAAATGAAATATATTCAATCAGAATTTTTCCAAGTGAAAAATATCTGTCAAAAAGATAAAAAGGATTCTTCAAAGCCAGCCTTCATAACCTGAGAAAGAAAGTTAACATCTAAAACAGTTGCAAGTATATGAGTTTTGCAGTCAGGGTAGCTCAAATGTCAATTAAGTAAATGTCACCGTATTCTYGTGATGTTTAGAATTGCCCTATCCTTGTATATACGAGTATGAAAATACAATGACTATAGGATAGGCTTAATGCCAAACATGATGCATACTAAGTAGGAGAATTATTCTCCCCGTAATGCTGCAGTTCCATCTGGTTTCGTGCTACCAAGTACTCTATGGAGCTATAGATGTCCCATTATCAAGTTTAGAAACTTTTTATAAGATTTCTCCTGTTATTTTGGGAGCAGTCTGATGTTTGTTTTAATCTGCAGATTTTGTTGTCACTGAAATAAACAAGATATTTCTTATAAAGTGTGCAAAACACTCTATTTTTAAGCATGCCACAAATGCAGACCTTGGACTTGCTGACGCACCGCAGTGTCCCAGTTCAAATACCACTGTCTTGAGTGATTCATTTAAAAGACTGTTGGCTACTTCCACGTTTTCATTCCTGCATTCCARACCGGTTGGGATAACTGCTTTTGTCCAGTTTTTCTTCCTACTTTAATTCTATTGCAAATTGTTATGGATTTAGGCTTGACTGAGAAGATGGCTAGTTCCATAGGAGGGGTAATTGACCCCTACCACAGGCTGCCCACGCAGGTAAAAAGATGGGCTTTAAAGGAGGATGTGTCAGAGTTAGAGATAAGTCTTTTGCAGTAAACCATATGATCCTCAGGTCTCCTTTGCACCAAATRTTTTTAACAAAGCATCTATGCTGGGTTTCTTCAGCCAGCAAGAAGTAATCCTCTAACAAACCAGAAGGAAGTCTTTACTTTAAAAAGCCATCATGCAAGCATAAAATGTGGCAAAAAAATGTAATTTTGTCTCTTGCTATTCCTGAGTAGTTCCAGATTTCTTGCAGCTTCTGTGTTACTGGTGGGAAACATGAGATACGTTTGGAAGCCCAAATTAATACTTATTCTAAACCTGTGCTTTCAGAGTATTTCTGAAATGGGCAAATTTTTGAGGAGACAAAAGCAACAAAAGCAGATGAGGTAGCTGTGTAATTGCTTTCAAACCTTTCTGCAGGTCCTGTGAGTGCAGGCAGTTTGGCAGAACTGCCAGGTTAGGTGAAGAAACAATAAGCAGCTTCCGTTCCGCTAGGTCGGGTTCTTCCAGCTGGTAGGAGCACCTGTGGAGATGGCCAGCGAACTGTAACTGGGCAGGTGGAGTGGAGCAGGCCCAGAAAGGAGAACGCGCTGGTTCTTCACTCTTGCGTCTAGAGGTTCCTGTATCCAGTGGACTCTAATGGAAGAGTCT